TCACTTTATGACACAGCACTTGCCCTCCATGAATCTTTCTGAGTTTCCTTCTGGTATGAAGGCAAAAGAAGAATGAAAGAAACACTTATTTGGACAAGAGGCAGAGAAGCTTGAATGAATAATATTATTGTAGTAAAACAATGTGATTCTTCTCTTCAGTTTCCAAGCATCCCTAGCAGTACTGTTAACTACTCTTCAAACAGGGAGGAGAGATACACAACCCTATAGTTGACTTTAGCTCTTATAGGGTTCTATTTCTTACCATTTACTAGATTGGCCACCTTTGGAAACTGGTAAAAAGAATACTGTAAGTACCTAAATTAGCTGCCATAATATGACTACCCCTCTAAATATCCGGACTAATGCTTAGAGGGAGCAAATATTTGTCTAAACTTTGTAACAGTAAAACATTAGCTCTTTCAGAAGACTGAACTGGCATTCAGTGTAGTTTCATGAATCAGGGATCTTTTCTGTAACACAGATGGGCATATTTTAGATTAATTCTAACCCTATATTATGAATAGCTCCCTTCACGAGTGGCCCTGGGTTTATTTCTGCAGGGAAATAGTATCTTTTCTTTTTTGAACAAGATATTTCTAAGCATAAGAGGAGAGAACAATGAGACAATGTTGAAAAGAAAAAACAAAATGCAAAGTTAACCACAAATTTCCATAATGAGGAAACAAACCACAATGTACTCTGAAATGCTGCCAGCCAGTTCCTCATTGGTATTCAATATAAGATAGAAGCCAAAATAAGAGAAGTTAAGGGACTTTCAAATGATCTACGTGTCCAATTGATTACCCCTAAGACCCAGTTTCTTTGGTCAAATATATGTAGGCAATACTGTTGCATGCAATCCTGTTCACTTGAATGAAATGACAATAAAATTATGTCCAATGTATACAGTATACAAGGAAGCTACCTCTTATGCCAGTATTCTGACTTCCAAGAATCTGATTAAAACCCAAACACAGTAACTGATTGGAAAATGGGGTTTATTTTTGTATCTTGACTAATCATATTGCAAAATGTTAAGTTTATATCACAGCCACTGTGCTTAAAAGCTTGGTATTTTTAATGTTTTGAGTCAGATTTATCTCATTATAACTTTTTATTCTGGCTGTGTGTACAGGAGAAGAATTTAACCTGTTCTTTCCTGCAAATTCTTGCTCTAACTAAAAATGCCTCAGATTTGAAATACCCAGTTTAAATAGGTGGCTGAGAACTTTAAGAGATCTTCTAGCTTAACTGCAGGCAGTTTTGGGTCATTATTTTACTACAACCACTGTCAACTGAGTGAATGCACTCAAATTTGATACCATTTCATTCCAAACCAATTCTTACCATTTTTAAGTTTACTCCAGAACCTACAGACCTAAACAAAATTTGTCTTTGAGTTGATTTTGCCAATATATACAAATGGTATATCTAGGTAAATATCAAAATGAACTGTATATAATAGTGTCCTCTGTCACCATTTATTGGGACCTGATATACATAGGCAGGATTTCTAATGTATACTCTTGCAAGAGAGAAGTCCAGCAGGAGCTTCTGTATTTCTTTCTATACATGACACTAGTTTTAAATAAAGAAACAATGGGGAAGAATCAACAGTTATTTTGCTTTCTTAAAGACATATATTTGTTTAATGGAAAAATGTTTTATCTCAATCCCTGGATGCCCAGGAAATATACTATTTAGTCAAGATATGAATTTCATGAGGTAAGCAGTCAAAAACCCCAAAATGTTGATAATTATTTACCCAGAACAGGAATGGTGATTGATCAATATTTTTATTGGAAAAATTAATCTGAAAGTAGCTGCTAGTTGGTGGAGGCTTCCACAATTTTCAGTAGTTGTCTCGATCCAGTTGAACTTTCTCAAAATATCTATATATAGTCCTGAATGCCTCTGATTCCTTTCTATATTTGCATTCATTTACTTAGCAACTTTTTTCTTAGTTGCAAAAGACTATGGGAAACATCTGCTTGTTAAATAGTGTCTCCAATAGAGAGATGGTCTTGAGCTTCATTTGTAGTGTTTCTCTGTCATTTTTTGCAATCACTGAGGCAGAAAATCAATATTAGTATTATACAACTAACTGAACCACCTTTGAACTTTAATTCTAAACACAGGAAAGAGCAGAAAAACTTACGTATTTTTGCAATCTATGTGTACAAACTTAAAGCCAGGAAGGAGGGTCTTAGCACCTTGCAATCTAGGGTACTGTATCTTCTAAAGTCAATGGATTTCCTACAGATTTATGTTACTATAAATAAATGAGTTGAGTTACTACTTAAAACACTGAAACAGAAAGTCGATGCATACATGTAAAAGAACATTTGCATTTGACTGGACTTTTTATAAAAAAGCAACAGGACACCTATTACTTCCCATGGGAATTTATGCATCAGTCTAATAGTCCTAATGCTCAGGGTGCTTTTTCTCTTAATTGTTCTTTTTCTTGATTTCATTCTATCAATTCTCATTGAACAGCTACTATATAAAATTATTCTAATATCCCTTTGATATTAGCATAATTGATATTAATACTGCTGTTTTTAGCTCTCTAGCCTGCTGCAAGGAAGCATCATGCTTTATTCCTCTTTTACAGTAGAAGAGACCAGTACTCAAAAGTTAAAAATGCACAACTTTTTGTTACCCACAGTGTTGGTAGGATAAAGAACTTAAAGATATGATCAGATATATTTTTCTGGATGTTCAGTCAGACCAATATGGTCAGTTTAAACACATGACCAAGAAACATTTTAGCTACAATTGGGAGTTTAAGAAAATCTTATGTTATGGGGTGGATGAGATAGCACAGATATAACCATTGTTAGGCAGAAACATATGTTAGACCCTAGAGATAAGCAGCTAGTTAAAATCATTGAGATCATATCTGACTGCATGGGAGCAAGGGGAAGTTGATGCTTCTGACTGCATTTGCATGATAGACTAATAATTCAGCTGTTTGCCAAAGGACCTCTTTGATCTAGCTCCTCACTGTAAGAGGATTTTCACATCCAGCTTTTGTGTTCTAGGAGGGCATCTGTACTGAAAGTCCCTGGAGTGATCTGACCATGACTTAGCTTCTCTTCCTATTGTCACAGATATATATTACAGCCAGAAAGGGAAAGCTGATCAGATCAGATAGTAGAAGCCTTGTTCCGTAAATAGTTGTTTGGGCGTTTAGCCAGGAAGGGTCATATAAGTTCTAGTTCTGCACAGTTTCTTTTTTTCTCAGTTTCATTGAAGGCCAAATACTTAAACTATCCTGGGAGCAAACCAGTGTCTAAATGCAGGAAGTGATTTGAGGCATTCAGAACTTGGAACTGTAAATGGTGACCGTGAAACAGGTGTTTAAATCAGGACAAGACATTTTAGGCACACTGAAGAAGTCTGATAGAGTGGGATCATGCATATTCATGTTCCACATACTGTCTGCTTTGAATTCCTGTCTAGGGACTTAATTTTTCCTCCAGACAATGCAGGACAAAGTTGGATGTCTTATTCAACTTTGTGAATTCCATTTTTTTGAACATGCTGAGTGCATAACTTTTAAGCATTGTAGCACCAAGCATTATTATGTTGAAAGCTTTTTGTTGAATGATGCTCTAAAATGATGCTTCTAGAATGATATAAAAGAATTTTCATTATTTGGCTGAATGCATGGCTCCAGTTCTCTAATTTCCTACTCATTATTTGCAGGTAAGGATTCTGTGATACAGGCAGAGATAGCAGTTTCCCAGGTTGTAGTCTCCACTGTCCAGTTTACTCATACACATCTTGTGTCCTGACTTCCATTTTTGCCCCATTTCCTTGTTAAATCATTTTTAATTTGTTCTAGTATCTAATTCTCTGTTCTGCCTTGCCCTGATTCTTCCTTGCTTTTAAGGTACTGTTTCCTGTTATAAGCCTGTAGACCAGTCTAGCTCAGTCAGTCCCAGAGTCCTTCACTCTAATTGTGACCCAATATTTCTGCCCTAAGCATGTAGCATCAGGTAACAGTTCAGTCTTTCACCTTTCAGAACCTGTGCTTATGTACTACAGCCACTTTTCCTTCTCTTTTGCATGTCTTTGTGTGACTCTTTTACACTGAGAGCACATGGCTTCTTTCTCTAAGTTGCCAAGAGATGGGGGGGGGAGGGGAACTTCTGATTCTGGGCTCAGGAGAGTCCTGAGTTCAGCAGTAGCAGTCATTTTTTTCCCCCTTCTCGGTAGCTGGTGCAGTGCTGTGGTTTTGACTTTTGGTCTGGGAACAGTGCAGATAACACCGATGTTTTTAGTTACTGCTCAAATATTTAGTCTGACCAAGGACTTTTGGAGTCTCATGCTCTGCCAGGGAGGAGGGGAAGCAGGGAGGAAGCAGAGACAGGACACCTGACCCAAACTAACCAAAGAGGTATTCCATACCACACCACATCATGCCCAGTATATAAACTGGTGGTAGTTACCCAGAAGGGCTAGTTCACTGCTGGGTCTGGCTAGGTAGTGGTACTGGTATCGGTCGGTGGGTGGTGTTGTATTCTCTTCCCTTGTTATTTTCCTTATCATTATTATTATTGGTGGTAGCAGTAGTGGTTTGTTTTATACCTTAGTTACTGGACTGTTCTTATCTCAACCCGGGGGAATTACATTCTTTCAATTTTCCTCCCCATCCTTTCAGAAGTTGGGGGAGGAAAGGGGTAGGGAGTGAACGAGGAGTGCGTGGCTGGTTTTATGACTGGGTTTAAACCATGACAGTTCTTTTTGGTGCCCAACGTGGGGCACAGAGGGTTGAGATAACACCAAATCTGACCAGAGTGTGTCTAATCGTATTTGTGAAAAGCATTCATTGTTTTGGACTAATAGTCACTCGTCACAATGCTGATTTATTGGCTCTCAAAGTTGTTGCTCTTGATCTCACAATTTCAGCATGTCATACCTTACTTAAGCTGATGTTTGCTGTGCTAGTGTTTGTCAAGTTTGGGGCTTGGGCTAAGGTTCCTGTCTCACTGTACTTTATGGCAATGACTTGTAATACGGGTGGGCTCTGGCAGCAGGGCGGGACAGACGTGGCTGTGGATTGGTACCTGGCCATCCTGCTGCTCTTCACCATCCTGGCCCTTGTTCTCACCTCTGTCTTTGTGAGGCTGCGGGGAGCTGAAGGGGAGAGGCCCTGGGAGCCAGCTGTGGCCGAAGCGGCCTGGGAGAGCGGCCCCAGGGACCAAGCGGCAGCAAGAGCGGGGCCGGAGGCTGGGAAAGAGGCTGTTGCCAAGCATCGGGAGGAGGCGGCGGAGGACCCAAGCCCTGTGGTGGCCGAGAACATCCCCTGGCAGCTGCCAGTCGAGCCCCACGAGCCCGAGCCCCAGGAGGATGCGGAGAGCAATATACCACCTTTGGGAGCCTCAGCTGGGTCCAGCCTCGGCCACCTGGGACAAGTAGAGGATACAGGAGACCACACAGCATTTCCCAGCAAGGCAGAGAAGGAAGATCTGGACTCAGAAAAAGAGAAGCTGGTGGTGGGAGAGCTGGCAAGCACAGCAGCTACACCAGCCCCAGTGACAAGTACAGCAGCATCGTTTGAGAATTCTGATGGTTTTAAATGGCCTTTGGGTACCCTTGAGACCTGCCTGCTGATTGTGAGGGGGATCACGATGTTAGCACACATACAGAATGTGTTTTGCCCACAACCGTTTTGTCTAATCTCAGAAGTTAAGCAGAGTCGGGTTTGGGTCTTGTCTGGGGTTAGATGATGATATAGGAGGACCAGGAGATTTTCCCCAAGGCTATACAGTCATGAGTGGCAGGGTGTGTGGGACAGTATGGGTGATAGTGTAGTCCACTGGGCCCCTCCAGTGCTTTGGAAGCATTGGAGATGGCAGGCAGCTGTATGGAGTCCCCAGCGACAAGTTGCAGGAACTGCTGAAGGGGAGAGCGAATTTTTTTTTTGCCCTGGTGGGCCCATGACACTTCAGACCATCAGGGCAGAGATGCAACACACAGGTGGACTTATGATTGAGGGGTGGACTTAACAATGGATACTATTGCCCAGGTGATTCATGAGTGTAAACACTGCACACAGCCTCTCCTGCTCTGAAAGACTGTTACAAGACATGGAGCCCGACATCATAGACCAGATGGACTCAGTAGCTTTACAGGGATTGGTCCATGCACTAAGATAAGAGTACACTGAGATAAGAGTGCTGGTATATTGAAAATATAGGATCTGAGCATGTGTATGGTATGGAATAAAGGGTGGATACTGTCCTGGGTTCAGCAGTAGCAGTCATTTTTTTCTCCTTCTCAGTAGCTGGTGCAGTGTTTCTGACTTTCGGCCTGGGAACAGCACTGATAACACGATGTTTTTAGTTGCTGCTTAGTAATGTTTACTCTGACCAAGGGCTTTCTGAGTCTCATGCTCTGCCAGGGAGGAGAGGAAACCGCAAGGAATCAGAGACAGGACACCTGACCCAAACTAGCCAGAGAGGTATTCCATACCACAGCACGTCATGGCCCGGATGTAAACTGGGGGCAGTTACCCGGAAGGGCTAGATCACTGCTGGGTCTGGCTGGGTATCTGTCGGCAGGTGGTGAGCAGTTGTATTCTCCTCCCTTGTTATTTCCCTTACCATTATTATTATTGGTGGCAGCAGTAGTAGTTTGTGTTATATTTTAGTTACTGGGCTGTTCTTATCTCAACCCATGGGAGTTATGTTCTTTAGATTCTCCTCCCCATCCTTCCAGGAGCAGGGGTGGGCGGAAGGTGTGGGGAGTAAGCGAGGAGTGCGTGGCTGGTTTTATGACTAAGCTTAAACCATGACAAGAAGTAACACACATATCAAACAGCAAACAGCATGGCCTGCAACTGGCTACAGGCTGTCTGCATTCATAGTTTTATCCCTGGGGGAAATACAGACGGAGCGTTCAGGGAATTTATTATCAAAATCAAAGAAGCAGTGTGAATCTAATACATGTGAACAGCAATTTTTTTCAGCTGATGCCAAGGTTAGAAGTCAAGTCTCCAATACACCATTCAGTGGCTTAATGATAAAACCATGCTTTGTCTCCTCTTTAATCTTACAGCTTTTGCAACAGGTAGATTATGAATGTCCTGTACCAAGAATGCCCTGCTTTCTCATGGCTGGCTGTTAACTCATGAAAACAGTTCAGCTCCTTTTATTCAAATATGCTGACTCTTTCACTCTTCTGTATGTACATTCACATACTACAGAAGTGCAAGTGTTCCCTCTTTGTCATATGCAATACATGAACAGAATCTGATCATGAGGTCTGATATGTGATCCTCCTTCCTCCTGTCTTCCTTTGTCACACAACAAAGAAACTCATATTTTTTTGAGTGTCATGATGTGTGAGAGAAAGGATGCTACATATGAAGCATCTTGGGTGTTTTTCCATAAAGGTCCATCTTCCTCCTATCCCCATCCAAATGTCTGGACATGGCTGCTGTTCCAACAGCTGATGGTTCTTCTGCAAATGATTCCCTTCACCTTGTAATCAGAAATGGCTGATATCTTCTCTCCCTGCTCCTCTAAAAAATACTTACTTGAATCTGACCTGTGAAATGCAGTCAAAATTACTGGAATTTCTTTGAGTTATAAATGTCTGAATCCAAAGACTTATACCAAGTAGGTAGCTTTAGTAGTGCATAGATACAAACTACAATTTTGCTTTTTGGGCTTTCCTTATAAATGGACTCCTCTAAACTCAACATAGACAGCAAATGGAGTCCATTATTTTCTTGGTAAGGATATGACTACAATAAATAAGCATACAAAATTTGTGATTTTATATTGCCAAATTATAATATGATACCATATGCAATTTACAGATGCTGTTTTGTTCTTCCCCAGACAGCACAGCTCCAAAAGGCAGTGTGCTACTATCCAAGTGACTAGCACTTTACTAGAACTATTAAGTGGGCTACTACAGCAGGCCAAAGCTCCAGCAATTCCAGCTTTAGCACCTCCCTGTCAGGTTCACATTGGCTTTTCTTGTTGTGGTACCAACTTAGATGAAAGTAGCAGCACACAGTGATGCATGGGCAGGCTGAATTGATCTCTCCGTTAAAATCAATGGAATTATTCCTCAGGAGGTACACAGGAAGCAGGATAACAGGCACTAGAGGGCTCTAATGCTCTGTAGACATAACATTTTTTATGAACATTTAGTACAAAATTTAATTACCTTCTTAAGTGAAACACAACTAGCTTAGGTAGTAGGCAGAGGAAGGTAATATTCTCTGGACTTCAGAGGAAAACACCCAATCCCTGCAGGAAACCAGTGATTACTTCATGGTAAGCAGCCCCAGTTTTTACCCTTCTTAAAGCTATTTTAGTTCTTAAACAAATAAAAATTCAATTGTGTTTGACATTCTGGAAAGTGGGAAAAAAAATAAAAATCACTGAAAAAGCTAGAAATAATCTTATACCCAAACTAGTGACTCGCTTTTTTTGCCAATCAACTCCTTAAATGAGATTTTATCATTGAAAACAGTTCACCTAAAAATAATAAAATAATAACAACCTTATTGAAAAGTTTGCCCCCACAAACCCTAACTTACAATTGGCTATTTATTTTTTCCAGTTGTATTATAAATTCTCATGGGAACATAGATCCCTTTTTGATTTCAGGCAGGAAATATCATTCTGTCAATATGCTTGTCTAACATACACTAAGTCATTTTTTTTTCCAAATAGGTGACATTTTAACATTGCATTTCATTTACACAAAGACTACAGTATTAAGAAAAGTTAATGTAATAATTTTTCCTGTATGAGTATGAATCCAGATACCAGTCTGGAATGAATTTTTCCAGCAGTGTTGAAGGCAATAACAGCTTCCTAACTGCCGATGCTTAAGTTTTGGCCTTTTCCACTTGTGATTGTTTAGCTTCTCAAGTAGCTGTGTGTAGCTTTGTTTTTCTACTTGATACTGTAAGTTTAGGGAGGAATCTGCCCAACAAAGCTTGTAAGTAAAACTTAAAGCAGTAAAAAGGTCCAGCAAACCATTTACTTATATATATATGCTTTGCCTTCTTTTTTTGGCAGAGGGCCTGTGTCCTCACTGTATATCTTGTTCATCAGCTTTATTGGTGGCTCCCAGCCTGTGAGAACTGTATTTTCAAGAGAAAAGAAAAATATTTAAAGCATTCTTAAGGAAAAAGCTAGACACAGAGAAGACATACTATGGTTGTCTGTATCAGGATGCAAAATTGTGCCCTACTGTTTATGGCTGATCAAGACCTGAGTGGATGAGACTTTGAGAAAACCGGTCTAGTGGAAGGTGTCCCTGCTCATGGCAGGGGGTTTGGAACTAGAAGGTCTTTCAGGTCACTTCCAACCCAGACTATTTGGTGATTCTATGATACAATTATTTTGGTTATCCTCTTTATCAGACTATCAGAAGTCACTATTTCCCAGGCATTGAAAAGGCATTATTAGAACAATAGGGTGTTATGAAAACATATGGCATTAATGCATATCTATCTGAGAGACAAATGATACAAGAAATACAGCTTATATGCATTGTGGCATAACCTTTTGGTAAGTAAAGATAGCAGTTTCTCTGCTGTGCTTTTGGGAGTTGTCCATAGATGCTGCTTATGCAACACATGTTTACTTGGTCCTATTCCTTTTGTAGTGTCTAAATGACCAAACTGCAGCCTCAGTGACTTCAAGTCATGTTTGCATTATGGAATACATCTAGTGTCAACAGTGTACTTTCTTGGGGAAAAAAGCCACTGTTTTTTAGTCCCACTTTCTAACTTTCCAGCTAGAAATGGAAGCAAACTTTAAGAATCCTAAATTTAAGTATCTTCATGTAAGTGTCTGTATGTGCACTGTGTGTCTAAGCTGACAGTTAATCAGTGGAGATTTAGCCAACATCACCAGCAGAGCCTGAAGGTTCTTTCAGCTGATATTAAATCAGGTATCAGCATCCTGTCAGCTGAAAAGTGCTATACACTTCATTGGCAAGGAGCTCAATTCAGCAGCCCTCAGCCCCAGAGGAGAGACCCAGCATGCTCCCAGCTCAGGGATCTGGACTCCAGCCTGAAAAGAGTAAGCAGTCTGGCCTGCTCCCAAACCACTGCTCTACCATCAGCTTCCTTTTGGAAATCTTTGGGTATTAAATTACTTGTTATTTGAAGAGGGAAGGAAAGAGGATTTTTTGCCATTTTCATAACGTATATTTCAGGGCTACTAACGGTGGTCAGGAAGGATTTTTTCCCACCTTTCTGATGCTCAGTATAGTTCACAGGTTTTATGTTCTCCACTTTTTCCTGAAGCACAAGGTTCTGCAACAGGGACAAAAGGTGCTCAAAGTCTTATTGGCATTTGTAAAACTCTCAGAGGTCTGACTGATACGTGCCATTTAGGGCTAACTGATCTCCAGGTTTTAAGAACGCTTGCAAGGTCAAGTTCACAAAGACCTGTTGGATTTTGCCTCTTTCTTTAACTGCCGGACAGAGTTGTCTGTCCAGTTTCACTTAGCAGCTTTTTCTATTACTGCAGTGACTTAGGATATCAGTGATGACTGTGACCAATAAGGCTACAAAAGAAGCATATTTGGAGTGTCTTAACTGTTGAAATGGGTCCTGCATGGATCATAGCATGTGTTACCTAATCTGATGCAATTAAAATACACTGTATACAGCAGAGAGAGCTCTCAGTGCTTCCTGAAATTCCGTTCACTGTATGTTATTGCAGTTTGATTCAACAAAATATCAAGTAACCAACATTATTGTTTGCTTTTGAAACTCCTGGGCCATAAGTAGTTAATATTTTCTATTG